CTCGCTCGCACAAACACAGTACACTTACACACATATACACACTCGCTGGGGCGAGCGGATGGAAGGATGTGACCATTAAGTCAGTGACATTTTAAAGCAGTGAGAGAGATGCATGGCTCTTCCTGGACCTCCCCCGACATGTTTTAAATGAGATGTTACAGATGAGCTACTCCATGCCTTGGTTGTAAACACCCTCACATTAGTATTTACACGGGTAAACATTTCATGCTAGCTCATGCTCACGTACATACACACAAACACATGCGCTTGAATAAATACACAGCAGAAACCAGCAGACACGCACGATCACATTAATGAGAAATGGCTGCGGCGCGATTTGTCGGCTCTCTTATTTGTTGCATTAATCATTCGAAACATCAACATGAATTAAGTGACGAGTGAAGGCGCCAAAACCAGATTTTGCTCAAATTGCTATTTGATCTTCGAAAACAAGTGGTCTTGCTTGCGTTGTGATTGTGATTCTGTGTAGTTTCCCTTGACGCGCTGCAGATTGACGTGAACGCAGCCGCGAAGAACGAGCGTTTTCAGCGATCTCAGAAAAAACACGATAATTTAGAATCAGAACTCAAACATCACATTGAGATAATGAGCAGAGCTGTACTTTTAAATAGAGAGAGCAGATAAGTGGGTGGAGAGACAGCGACAGGGAAAAAGGAGGCAGAAAAAAAATATAATCACGTTTTCATACCATTGTGCAGCATTGTATTTTCATTAACATCTGAAGATTCAGCTGGTATTTTTAGATCAACTGCAAGAAAGAAAGAATTGTGTCTCTTTTGAAGCTCTCTTACTGAAACGTTCTGTACAAAATCTTTACGACATAATGGACACTTTGTCCACGAGAGCAACAGAAAAGTCCAGGCAATTGTATGTATGTATGTAGCCCAAAATCACAAAACTTCCTAACGCCAACCCAAATTACATGCCCCGCTCTCCACCCTTTGAGACTTGAAAAAAAGACGGACCGCTACACCAACACACAAGACTGCATGGCGAGAGAAAGAGGTCACAATGCTGCGCGTGTACTGCTTCAGCATGTTAATCCTGAGCCTCCAGAGTCCTCAGGATAAAATGATTTTAGCCTCTTATGCTCCGCGCTTGCCCCTTGTGCGTTCCCCCAAGCTCGAGGAAGCCCTTCTTATAGACAGCAGTGGCAGTTTTCAATTAAAAGTTTTGTCTTAACTCTCGTCAGGTTGTGCTCTTACAGCACTAAAGACTTGGTCTCAATTATAAACTAACATCACCAGGTGAAATGAGTCACTGACACCAGCTGCGCGTGTGTGCGACTGTGTGGTTTGCATCGATCCGTCACTCTTAGAACGCTTCAAGTGTGTGTGTGTGTGTGTGTGTGTGTGTGTGCGCGTGCTAAATTGAGGGCATCTCAAGGTGGTCAATGTTTTCTCTGTGAGGCCGATCTGTGACCCGAAGGTTAGGGTCACACCGACCCACACCCAGCCAGAAACTCACAACACAGGATTGCTTTCTAATTTCGGTAGCTGTGAAAAGTCCACAGGTGAGAGAGACCTATTTTGTGGGTAGCAGAGAAGAAATTGTGTGTGTGTGTGTGTGTGTGTGTGTGTGTGTAGATGGGAGCTTGTGACAGTGTGTGGCCTTTTGATGAATCTGCCTGTATGTATTGAAGCCCTCTGACCCTGTGTGGCCTGTTCTAGATCATTGCAGTTGTAAAGATGCCTCACCAGACAGCCCTCAGGGACACCCAGGCTCTGTATTTCTCCTATCATGACATTTAGTGTCGGGACCATCCTGTATCCCCAAGATAATTTTGGTCGTCTCTCTGTATGTACTTTTTTTTGTTTTTCTTATTAGACCAAAAGCTTTTTTCTTGGAAGCATATTTTCCTCAGACAGTGATACTTGAGTTTGCTATCGTTGAGAAGGCAGATGTGTATACATGTAAGTAAATATCTGCTGCAATGATAGATTTATAGATAAATCAAGCCTCCCAAATTTATTGAAGCCGGAAGATGAGAGCGCTGGTGCTTGTAAATATCCGCACAGCACTGAAAGAGTGCAGAGAGATCAAACCGGCACTCTCTGCATATGTGCCGAGTTCAAAACAGCATTTTCTCCACGATAATTGAAGCAATGTTGACACATCAACTCACAGATGCATAAAGATTATAAGATTTGTCTAAATAACATCACACTAACACTTCATGTAGATAAAAAAAAAGTCAAATTTGGATTCAGTGCATCATGCTGTGTTACGATTTGTCTCTGATTCCGGTTTCCACGCTTTTTGTTGTTTTGTTTCTTAAGCGTGTTGTCTGTGTTTATATGTGGGTTGTTCGATGCCATCTTGACCAGGACCCCCTCACGAAGGAGATTTAAAATCGCAATGGTGTTTTTCTTGGAAAAAAAGAAAAGGTTAAATAGTAAGATAATAATATTAAACTTTCTCCTCTCTCTTCTGTTTTCCCACCAGGTTCCACCGTGGAGACTACCACATCGACGTGTGCATAAACGACTACCTGGATGTCTACTGTCCCCACTATGAAGAAACGGTACCTGAGGAGCGCACCGAGCGCTATGTCCTCTACATGGTCAACTACGACGGCTACAGCACGTGCGACCACACCGCCAAGGGCTTCAAGCGCTGGGAGTGCAACAGGCCGCACTCTCCGAATGGGCCGCTCAAGTTCTCAGAGAAGTTCCAGCTCTTCACCCCCTTCTCCTTGGGCTTTGAGTTCAGACCGGGCAGAGAATACTACTACATATGTGAGTCCCATGCACATTAAAGGAAAAAAATAGCATGATGTTTGTTGTCTACAAACACTGCACAAAACCTCACATGCATTCACAGGAACATACAAAGCCAAATAACCAAATTTGACACGGATTACGAACCTAAATGGCCCTTTCCTGACCTAATGTTATTCTTCTAACACACCGAGCAGGAGAGACGGAGACACCCACCCTACTCCTAACCGGTGTTTTCACAACTTCGCCACAGAGCTTTGAGAGTGGCATTACAGTGATCCTCGTAGGCGCTTTCACGCTGTGCTTTGAGCCAAGCTTTTCACGCTGCTCTCGTCGCTCGTGGAGAAACTCTTCCCTAAAATGGCAATGGAATTCACAGGCGGGAGTTAAATTGAGACAGTTTAAAAGTTACACCTCACTTACCCCGCTGCACAATACTGTATCCCTCGAAAAAAGGAGTGCCCTCCTCTCAGCGTTATGTTATGCTCTTATTCAGCTCGCGTTAGATGTTAAGTTGTCTGCTTCTTGGCATAGAAACTGAGCCTAACCGAGTTCATCTGAAGTTGAAGCCCCTGGGAAATTAGGTTTTATCAAAGCAAGGTGATAGAGTGGAATTGAGTCGAGTTTGTCCTCCCACCACAGACTATACGGAGGAGTTACTGTCAGTAGGCGCAGTCGCCGCCACTCGCTCAAAACACATTTGTCACAGGGATACGCTGATATTACAAAATAGGAAGCACGGCTATGCTCTCATATTGGTGGCATTAGTGCAATATCATGCAGTGTAGCGCATTATTGCTTCAGCTGTTGAGGGAAAGTTTAAACTTTGTGGGCCAATGTATGAGGGAATATTGTAGATATTTCTTCTCAGCAAGGGGGTGTCAACTTTGACAGTTAACTCTCTACTGTTAAATGCTGCTGGTTATGCTGTGCTTGTATCTGTTCATCAGTAAAGTTTGGACTTGTGGGGTTAATGCAGATCTAGGTGGCTGTCACACCCCCGCGTCTATGCGTTCTCTCCTTCTCTCAGAGACAGCGTCGAAAGAGTCGGGAGTCTGTTTTATAAATTGACACCTTTTTATAAAGCAGTTAACCTGACAGGCAGCCAAGGCGTCTGTCCTTTATTCTCTCTCTCTCTCTCTCTCTCTCTCTCTCCCTGCTCCGTTACACTTATATTGGAGCGAAAGTCTGGAGTAAAAATAAACGAAACAAAAGAGTGCGTCCGCAACGTTTGCCGTTGTTTCCGCTGTGAATAAGTTTTTTCTCTCTCAAGCTTGTCCACAAAACAAATAGCCTGAGCTCTTTTCCAGAGGCCTTTCAACAACCAGGTGTTTGGCCATTTGTCTGTTAAAAAGTAACCAGATTTTCCTTTGCTTTTATAGCCGATTTACATTGACAGTCATACTAAATGAGACAAGGGAAAAATGGAGCCTCCGTAGTTGGATTGTAGATGGGGGTTAGGGAAGGGTTATACAATTCATCCACTCCTGCAAGTCTCTATTTCTAACATACATATATATATATATATATATATATATATATATATATATATATATTTTATTTTTTCCATTTCTGTTGAGAGATGCTTGTCCTAAGGGCTGGATTAAATTACACTGCGACCGACAGTTCTTCCATGGAACACATCCATTCTACTGGTGCACGCCATATTGGTTTAGTGGCTCGCGGCTTCATTGGCTATTGAATGATTCTAGCGTATAGCCTCTCTGGCTACTGCGGCGGATATTAAAGTCATCTACCATGAAGTACTCAGACATGTGATTCCCCACCATTGTGTCCGGCCTGAATGTTCATAAGTAGCCGAGAAGATGCTACTGATGGATCCGCCAGTCTCTTTAGTGGACGGCATGTAGACCTGAAGGATGGAGATGAGTTGTGAGTTACATTACTACACCTGCCAATTTATCTGCAACATCTGTTCATATCGAGGGCGGGGGTTCTCATGCCCAAGCAGCAGAAGCATACGAGACCTTTCAGCTTGCATTGGGTTACATCATTTTTGTTCTCCTTTAATCGTAAGAATTCAGTGATACATTTTCGCAAATAAACTTTCTAACTGGGAAATAAGTAAACATGGTGCAAATCATAAGAGTATAACCCAATTGCTGGGTTTTTTTTCACAGGGATTGCGTTTTGGCTATACCTACTATTGTCATAAATATTCAGGAGCAAAGATGGCTAGAAAATATAATTTAATAATTTAAAAGAGCAAAACTGAATGCCACAGTACACAACATAAGTGAAGTAATCCAGTTGAAACAGAGCGACATGACCATCCCACGTGAGTCAATTGTCCCGCTACCTGTTGAATTTGAAAGTTGGCTCACAGTGTGTTCCTGGTTCGGTCTGTCAACATATTGGGTTTCCTCGGCCCGGGCCTCCAATATCTGTGTCCAGGAACAAAACACCTGGCAGGATAGCATGCATGTTATTTCTGTAGCAATGGTAAGATTGGACAGGTGAGTTTGACTTGAGGCATCACGTTGACTTTGTTCCACAAGTACCACTACATAAATCTACAACAGGGACCACATTGAAAGAGCCGTCAGTTTTTACATGGCTGTGACCTGTGGTGGCTTTGATCAGTCAACATAGTCTTCTACTTGAAAATGTCACGTCAAGCCTTGCACTTGTGCAGTGAGGCTGGCAGGGGTGAAGATATCACTTTTGAATTAATTGGGGAATGAGAATATTTTAATTTAATATTCTTAATGGCCAACAAAGTGGGGGAGTCCATTGTCCTTTATGGCCTTGCCTAATGCCTGCTCTGGTGCAGAACCTGAATTTACCCATTCCCCCCCCCCACAAGGATCATTAAATATTCATCTTATCATCTTCTACTGTGCATGGAGATGCTTAAGTACCCAAGGCCAAATGTCTAAATAATGAATCTCGAGCAGTTATTAGTGACTGATTACTTACTTAAGTCAACCAGTGTCAACTGGAATTACAATCAACCAGGCTGGACATTGCACCACAAACAGTGCCTACAGCTGGCTTCGACATAGCAAAGACATTTCTCTTGTATAAGATAGGATGATATCTGCTCCTCAGCGCTACACACAGTGGTTAGACTTTGCCCTTGTCGCCAATTTGCCTACATTGTGTGATTGCGTAGTGTAGTGTAGCTAACAGAGAAAACCTTACGCGTCATTACCTGCTGAAGCTGGCTGTACTGCCGACCTACGCTGAACACAAATGTCAATGTGTCCCAAGTCGGAGGCCCCTATCCATGAGCACATGAGGCAGAGGTTACCAGTAGTTAATTGCAAATGGACTCATGCACTTGAGACAGAACAGTATGTCATCTCTAGGGGAATTTGTGAAATGCGTAATTTCTTTGGTTTTATAACACCGCTATAGTAGCACAGACTTAATGAATATAGGATATTTATTCAGAATCAATATGCCACGGATTCCACTCAAGTATTCGTTCAGAGTAACCAATATTTACCCACACACAGAACAGCAGATACCTTACATATAAACAGTGCTCATATACACAGTATCAGAATATTCATCTTTGCCTCGGCTATAATAACTTTCCGTAGCCAAATGACCTGAGGGAATGGGGGATGAAAAATTTGCCCTCAGTGACGTGATTGATCAGCGTTATGTTTGGAGAAGAAAATTAAGCTGTCAAATCATATTCCTGGCGAGGAAATGCCCGTTAATGGTGTTTTCGCCCTATGAGTTCGATGCGGGTCGAGGGTTGATTTGTTGCAAGTCTGATACAATTTAGAGAGAGGAGACAGGGTTCTGCTGTCATCTGCTTCAACAACAGAAACAGCTTAATCAACGCTAGCAGGATGGCGGGAATTTACTCAAATGGAGGTCATAATTCTTAATTTTTGTTAGTGTCAGCCTCTTCTCTCTGACAGGTAATTGAAGACAAGACGAAGGCTGGAGTCTGTCAGGAGACAACAGCCAGCTGTGTTTTCTTACAGTTAAACACAAGGTAGGACAGAGAGAACATTAACAGAGGAATAGATTAAAGATGTAAATGGTACAACACTCAGGGAGATGTAAAGAGTAATGTTATGATGTCCATCTGCAAGCAATTCTGCAAAATGCAGTATTGCTGTACTGTAGCAGTGAGTGAGTTACAGCTCCGAGGTGTCTGCCTCTGTGACAGAGAGAGAGGATAAGCGGATAATTGGAGCACTTCTCAGGTCGGAGTTCACAGTGCGTTCATGGCTTAAGAGAAACCCATCTCGCAGGATGCTGATGCGAGCACGTTTGTCTAATATGGACACAATCCGCAATCTCGTATTTGAGTGAATTTAATCTGAAAAGGGCAGCAATCCAATATCAGTGGCAGCTCCCGGCAAGAGATGAGTGAGCCAAGTTACGGTGTCTTTAGGCGTGTAAGATGTGCGGCAAATAGGAAACCACTTGGTGTGATCATGCAGTGGCACATTGTCGGCCGAACAGATGTTGTTTTCTTGCCGTCTGACTTGTTCCCCTACATGGGCTTGTGCTGCTTCTCACGGAAAACACAATCAATAACACTTTTGCGTCTCGCTTGTGGATGGAGTTATTTTATAGATATTTCTGGGTTTTCACACTGCGAGAAAGAGGGATATTACAGCAACGCCTTTGGAGACTGAACACTTGTTAAATGGCCGACAAGTCCCAGAGGTGGCAAGGATTTTTTATTTTTGTATTTTGCTGAGGCTTCAATCACTCTGCGCATGCCCACAGGCCAATATGCACAATGCGACACAAGACTTAGATTGATCATAAATACCAAGCAAGAAAACCTTTTGATATTCAGAAGGCTCTCCTACAAGATCTAAGGAGGTATTTTTCCAATCTTACTGGACTGCTACATGCACACAGAAAGCTCAAACAGATTCTCCAAGAAAAGGACTATAGCTGGCGTCTGACTGATCATAAATCCTGTGATGCAACATGCTCCTTCAAGTCGCTCCCATGAGGAGAACGGAGTAGAGATCGTCGAGCAGCAGCAGCAGGAAAGTAGCATTAATGGACAAATG